AGGGAGCGGGGTGGGTTTCAGAGCCCAAGCCACAACTTCAAAGCACTCTCTATACAACTATTTTTAGAGTGCTAGTGTGAGCCCCGCTACCCCAAGTCTGTTGACCCAGGCTGAGAAGCTGGCTGCTGCAGGCTATGTAGACATACATGATTTGAAACAGCAGCTCCCCTTACTGCAGTTCCGATGCAGAGCAGCTGCAGTGTCTTTGAGTGTGTTTCTTCCAACAATGCAGGTTTACTAGGGAGTTTCTGTTTAGGTTTGGAACCTGTACTTCTATCTAGTTCATTCTTAAGTTTTTGAAACAATGTGCTGCTCTTATATTGAAAGGAAGGCTTCATTATAGCTACAGGCGCAGGAGTTTCTAGTCTGATAGCTCTATCACAAGCATGGAAAAAAGAGTTGTGTTGTCTCATATATTCAGTGATCACAACTCCATTTATCCAGGGGTGGCCATCATGAGCCTGAAAAGGAGCCAGAATTTACCAATGTACGTCGCCAAAGAGCCACAGTAATGTCAGCAGACCCCCCCATCATCTCATCTCACCCCCCTGCTCCCAGCGCCTCCCACCCACTAGTAGCCCTGATGATCAGCACCTCCCCCTCCCTCCCTGCACCTCTCAATCAGCTGCTTCGTGGCATGCAGGAGATCTCTGGGGGGAAGGGGTGGAGTGGGGGCAGGGCCTGTGGCAGAGCCAGGGATTGAGCAGTGAGCACTCCCCTGCACATTGGAAATTTGGCGCCTGGAGTCAGTGCCTATACAAGGAGCCACATATTAACTTCTGAAGAGCCGCATGTGGCTCCGGAGCCACAGGTTGGCCACTCCAGATTTATTCCTTTTAAAAAAAAATCTTTTCTCCCCTTCCTCTGAAAAAAGCCACTGTTGTGCTTTAACTGATAAATGGTATGTTTGGTCCAACTATTTTTGTTGCCTTATTGGCTTGAGAAGGAAAGTGGCTGCCACTAACTGGGCCATCATTTTATTTTTTTATATATAAAATACACACAGAAGAAGAAATATTTATGTGCATGTGTAATATAAATTCTCCTTCTCCCCAGTCACTTGCCAAAAGTTCACTACTGTGCCGTTTTTTTATTCGATTTTTTTGTTGATAATTAGTGCCCCATAATTGTTGTTAATTGTGATATACTGAAATTCTCATAGATGCTGTGAGCCTTGGAGACACCTTAGCCGGTCTTACGGTGTATGGGAGTAACGAACGTGATCCTTACGTCACTATTAAAGATACTGTAAGTATATATATATATTTTTTAAATCTTGTGCGGTCTTTCAAGGTTTAGGCATCTTAAATAGCATAAACTAAATATTACATACAATTTTCAAAAGTGCCTATGGGACTTAGGCTCCTAGATGCCTAAGGCCATGCCTACACTACAGATTTTGGTTGACACAAATTACATTTTCACAAAGCCCCCAAATTATGATAATGCTTGTGTGCGTGTATACTTGGCTGCTTGCATCAGGGCTGTGCATACTCAACAGGAGTGCTTGTGTCAATGCGAAGCGTGGTGCACCACGCTTTGCAATCCCAATGTACTGCTGTCCGATGCAATGCCTTCTGGGAAGTTTTTGCAATGTGTAGTGAGATAAAATGACTTGCCCAGAGATCTCTGGAAACTAGGGCTCATGCATACGAGCAATATAATAACCTGAATGGCCTTATGCCAATATGCAACTTCCTTCATCCATATGTCATAATTTTTGCATCTTTTTAAAAATTCCACAAACCTGTATAGCTCTTTTTGCTGTCTGTCATTTCTGGCAGAAGCAATAAGCCTGCACAGCTCTGCACTGGTCTCATGAACATTGGAAATACAGGATGCATGATCCTCCAGTATTTACAGACCCATAGGAAGAACCACAGCGATAGGGGATATGACTATTTCTTTGAGGACATATTGTTAAGGACATAGCAAAAAAACAACTCAGGGTTGTTCATGGTGTTCACAGAGCAGCTGCAGACCCCAGAGCCCCGCTTCTGGGCCTGGGAAACAAGCACTAACTGGTGGGATCACATCATAATGCAGGTTTGGGATGATGAGCGGTGTCTGCAGAACTTTTGGACATGAAAGGTGACGTTCCTGATCTGCATCCGATGCTCAGCCCAGCCCTCCAGCACATGGACACCAAAATGAGAACTGCACCGATAGTTGAGAAACAAGTGGTGATCACACTCTTGAAGCTTGCAATGCCAGATTGCTACCAGTCAGTGGGAAATCATTTTGGAATTGGAAAATCCATGGTAGGGGCCGTTGTCATGCAAGTGTGTAGGACCATTAATCGTCTGCTTCTATTCTGGACTGTGATTCTTGGCAATATGCAATACATAGTGGATAGCTCTGCAGTAATGGAGTTCTTTAATTGCCATGGGGCAATAGGATGCTTCACCAGTATCAATGTGGGCTGGTCAGGGAAAGCGCATGAGGCTCGTATCTTTAAGAACACAGGACTGCTCAGAAAGCTGCAAGCAGGAATATTCTTTTCCAACAGTGGATTATCATTGGTGATATTGAAATACTGTAGAGATCCTGAGGGACCCAGCCTACCCCCTTCTTTCTGGCTTATGAGGCCGTACACTGGCTAACTCAGCACTGAGGAAAGATTCAGCTACCACCTCAGCAGGTGCAGAATGACAGTTGACTGTGCTTGTGGTAGATTGAAGAGATGCTGGCAGTGTTTACTCACAAGACTGGATCTTAGTGAGAAAATCATCTCCGTTGTTATAGCTGCCTGCTATGTCCTGGATATCTTCCCTAGTACTCTTCTATCTCCTCTTCATTCCATGGATGTAGTGGGGGCACCCTTCAAGGCCGCAACAGCAGCAGCTACCAATAAAACAGACAGATGTATCGTTGGATTTACAGCCACAGTGGAAAGTGCGGGTTAAGTTTCAAAACTTCCTTCCCTTATTTTCATAAATCTTTTTAATAAGACATGCTTATTGATACTTCAGCTTTGGAGTTGCCTCTACACAGCACTGCTCTTCAGCCCCAGCCATAGTATGTATTGCCTGCCAGGAGCGTGGATGGGAATGGAGGAGGGCATTAAGATTGTTTTGGCTGCATGAAACAATATTTCGGTCCTTATTTCCATGAGTATAGGGCAGTGGCATTGAAGATTGGCACTATTTTCCCCAGGCAGTGGTGATTTTAGCTGATATCTCACTCCTGAAGGTAACAAAGGCACAGAGTACAGCTGCTGCTGGCATCCTGAAGCTGAATGGGCTCGTACGCCCCTAGCTTGTTGACTGCAATGGTGCCAGGCGAGCTCATCACGGAATGGCATGGGAAAGTGTCCAACCGCAGAGGAAGAAATAAGGCTGCTGCTCTAGAAACCTTCAGAAGTGGATTGCAGAGAACCGCCATAAAAGTTTCATTGAGATTTCTCAGGAGGATACAAGTGACATCCCTGTAGACAAACAACCTGCTCCACATGCCCTCTCCTCACCAAATCCTACAAGGGAATGAAAAGCTGATAGCAGCTCTACCTCAGTTTTACTACTACCTCTACTTGTATGAGTAAAACAATGAAAAGTCTAAACCTATTTCTTGTTAACTTGGGGATGGGATGAGTGTCATCTTCACATTTTAACACTAAAGGAAAATACATGAATGCACTTAAGCAAGGTTCCTTCCCCTTCATCAGGCTCATCCGTCCTTGGTTGGTGTGACTAGCTGGACTCCCCTCCTGCCCCTCCATGTCCTTCTCCTTCTCTCTGTTCACAGCAGGGTTCTTTGTCTTGGTCTGTACGGTACCTGGGGGAGGGGGTGTCTCTGCAAAGTATGGCATGCAGCTTGTAAAAGCTACAGGTCTGTAGCTCAGCACCAGATTGATTGTTGGCCTCCCTCTCCTTGTGGTATGCCTGCTGCCGTTCCTTCACTTTCTGTCGCTGATCCCTGTCATACTCCTTCACCTAAAACCCTGTGCGATCTCTTAATGGATGTCCATGTTTCTACCGCTGGTCCATAGCTGTGCTTGCACAGCATCTTCTCACACAGGCCCAGGAGATCCAATACTTCCTGTCTACTCCAGACAGGCGTGTGTCTAGAGCAGGGGTGGGCAAACTTTTTGGCCCGAAGGTCACATTGGGGTTGTGAAACTGTATGGAGGGCTGGATAGGGAAGGCTGTGCCTCCGCAAACAGCCTGGCCTCCGCCCCCTCCCACTTCCCACCCCGACTACCCCCCTCAGAATCCCCCCCCCACCCACCCCCCCCCGCTCCCCGTCCCCTGACTGCCCTCTGGGACCTCCTGCCCCTTATCCAACTTCCCCTCTCCCTTATCATGCCGCTCAGAGCAGCAGGAGTTCACAGCCCCGCCACCCAGCCAGAGCCAGCCCCCCCGCCTGGCACGAGCAGCGGGCCAGAGCATGGACGGCGCAGCGAGCTGAGGCTGCAGGGAAGGGGGAACAGCAGGGGAGGGGCCGGGGGCTAGCTTCCCTGGCCGGGAGCTCAAGGGCTGGGCAGAACGATCCCGAGGGCCGTAGTTTGCCCACCTCTGATCTAGAGCATGCAGATGGCTTGGTCAGTTGCGGACAAGGGGATACTGCTACGTGTTCTTGGTAAGCTCGGCAATCAGGAAAAAGCATTTAAAAATGTGGTGTTTTAAGAAGGGAGTTGGCTTCTGGTTTCTGTAGAGTGGAGTTAACAATTGTGACCAGAGCAGTCATTGTCTGGCATTGTGGGACAGCTGCTGGAGATCTTAGGATTGACATAGGTCACACAGCATCTGCACTTGCTCCGCGTCGACCTCTGCAGCTCAATGCCATCCAGGGAAGTGGTTCTACTGCATCACCTTAACGGGGCGCTTATGTCACCTGGGGACAAATTTAAGTGCAGACGCACACACAAATAGGTTGACACAATGCGACTTACATTGACCTAACTTTGTAGTGTAGACCGGGTCTTGAGTTACATTTGAAAATAGGACTTAAACTCCTAAGTCACTTAGGCACTTTTGAAAATTTTACCAGTTGTTGTCAGTGTTCCCTCTAATTTTTCCCACCCATGTGCGGAATGAATTTTGTTATGTGCACCAATATGGAGATGATGCACATCACCTCCGTATTGGTGCACATAACAAAATTCATGTGGCGGAGTGGGGCTGAGGGGTTTGGAGTGTGGGAGGGGGCTCAGGGCTGGGCCAGAGAGTTGGGGTGCCGGGGGGGGGGGGGGGGTCGTGGCGGGGGGGGGGGGGGTTGGGGGGGGGGGGGGGGGGCGGGGGGGGGGCTCTGGGTGGGGGTGCAGGCTCTGGGGTGGATGAAGGGCTCAGGGCTGGGCCAGAGGGTTGAGTTGCAGGGTGGTGAGGTCTATGCTGGAGGTGCGGGCTCTACGGTGGGGCTGGGGATGAGAGGTTTGGGGTGCAGTGGGGCTGGGGATGAGAGGTTTGGGGTGCAGGGGGGCTCCCTGGGACTACAGTGAGGAGAGAGGACTTCCCCTGCCTCCCCCAGCTGTCTCTCCCCGCAGCAGCACCTGGGCAGGGCTAGGCTGGGCTCGGGGAGCATCTCTTCCCGCCGCAGCCCTGAGCGTCTGCGCGGAGTAGGCAGCTGTGCAGCTGCAGAGCTCAGAGGGAACGTAGGTTGTTGTGTCTGTGATCAGTTTGATCACTCTTATTGCTGGCCTGTTAATTTATTTTCCTCCATAGTTTACTAGTTGTAACAGCAAAATTTTGGGAAGTCATTCATTTGAAAATATGCACATGACAATTTTTTTAACATAACACTGAAAGGAACATGGCTGATTTAGGGCTTTTCTACATAGGGACACTCAGGAAAGTTAAGTCAAATTAATTAAAGGTGTGAAGTAAAAACACATTAAAGGGCATTAAACCGCTGTGCGGATACTCTCATTCAAAAGTAAAGTGGCCATAGTTTTCTGTAGCTGAATCCCAAAGGGGTTTAACTAATGTGCTTTCATTTCACACCTTTAGTTAATTCAACTTAACTTTCTTCTGAGTATTCTGTGTAGGCATGCCCCCTTAGAAATCACATATCTGAACATTTCTTCGCCGTCATTGCTACAAATAATGGCAAATGTACACTTTAATCCAGTCAAAGTAGTTTCAAAAATTCTGGAAAAGCAGTTAGAGTAGGCTAATAATTTAAAGAGGGCTTGTTAAATTATACAGAAGTTCAGAGTGTGTAGGCCATGTGGGAATGATACCGATGTGTGAGGGAATAGGAACTGAAGAGCTGGTGATTGCGGGGGGGGGGGGGGGGGGGTCTGGAAAGATTTTGGGCAGCAGGTTGTATTGTGTTGGGGTACTTCTCAGGAGAAGGTTTCATTTTCAATACTGACACACTCTACTGAATCCATCTAGGCCCACATAAACGTTCCCTCAACTCATTTGATTGTCTAGTCTCACTGCTGTGGCACTTCCCCTCTCCCCTTTACCTTGTAGGATGGCCTCAAGGGCTTGGCTACCTGACCTTTTTCAGTTAGTGGTAAGAATTAATATTCTGTGCTTCAGAAAATTTCTATTTTTTTTTTTTTAACTCCTTAAGTTTTCTCCCTCCCTTGGCCCTTAGGAGCAATATGAACAGGAAGATTTTTTGATTAAGCCCAGTGACAATCTGATCATTTGTGGAAGAGTTGATAAGGACCACTGCAGTCTAGAGGTTCACCGTGAGTAAACAATATTTAGTCATAAAAGCAGGCCTAGAAAATACTCTGCTTATCCAGTCTGATCCCTATGGCTTTGCAGGACTGCTTCCTCTGTTGTTCTCCATTTATCCTGGTTTTTGAATAGATGGTGGCATCTGGCACAACTACATTTCTTGTGCTCTTACCTCTGTAAAATAACTGTTTAACAAACGCTAATGAACCCTGACCTATATAAATATACTGAGAACCTGTACAGTGAAACATCAGCCTGACAATAATACTCTTATTCTTATTTTATGAATACACATAAGCAGCAAGTGTCTCTTATATACCAGATGTTTTAAAATAGTCTCTCAAACACAAATGAAGATGATATAGGGTGTGCAAGGCATAAACTGAATCAGTCTGTACTTGATGTAGATAAGTACGTCATTCTTCGGTCTGTTGAATTTGTCACCTAAGTAAATGTTCTGTGGTGCCTATCATTATATAGAGAGGCTGTAGCTCTATGCTAGAAACTGACAATATCACAAATATCGCTTCCAGACATCTCTACACTGGGAATATTAATATTTGCTCCATCTGACTGTGTGGGAATGTACTACGTAGAGTGGCTTATTTTTCTCTCCACTGACATAGGTGTTTTTCAAATTCTCTCTCTTTCAGTTTATAATCATGAAGAGGACTCATTTTATGTACACCATGATATCCTCTTACCTGCATACCCTCTAAGTGTGGAGTGGCTTAATTTTGATCCTAATCCTGATGAATCTCCAGGTAATAAATGTCTTTGGGGTGCCAAAAGAGATCATAGCTGTCTAACAATAGCAGTTTTTGAATGTGAACTGCATAATTAACTTAAAATGCTGTGACTAAATCATGGTCTCCTGCAGCAATATTAACACAGAAGCAAAGCCAAGACATGGGAGGAAAAATTAAACATGGTGGTGAATGTAACGGGGTGCTCACCTCCTGAGTGCCTCCTAGTGGCAGGGTGTGATACTGCAATCTTTGTCCCACCCCCTATAGGTTGCTGACCTTGCAAGACAGGTCTTCAGTGGCTCAGCCTTCCAGTCAAATCACACAGTTGAAAAATGAACCCCTTCTGGGGTAGCAAATACACCTCTACCCCGCTACAACGTGACCCGATAGAACACGAATTCGGATATAACGCAGTAAAGCAGCGCTCCGGGGGGGGGGGAGGCGGGGGGCTGCACGCTCCGGCCAGTCAAAGCAAGTTCGATATAACGCAGTTTCACCTATATCGCGGTAAGATTTTTTTGGCTCCCAAGGACAGCGTTATATCGGGGTAGAGGTGTAGTTCACCAAACTCTCCTCTCACCAGGGTCTTCAGCCCTGTTTCTGGGCCCTTTAAATCTGGCCCTCTGCTCGGGCTTTTGAAGGAGCCTTGTCTCCCTCTTGGGCTTAGGCCCCTTTGCCAGTGGGGGAACCTTGGCCTGCCCACTACTCCAGGTTCCAGCCCAGGAGTCCTATAAACAGCAGTCACATACTGCTTCCTTCACTTAGTTGTTGCTGCATTCCCTGGGACTCTTCCTACCTGGTCCCTTTACCTTTGCCCATTACCTTAGGGTTAAAGTTCTCAGGTATTTTCTCTTGCCCAGGTCCAGTAAATGCAGCCCATCAAGCTCTTTTCTCCAAAGAGGAGCACCCTTCCTCATCTCTCTGGTCCCAGCCAGGAACTGATCTGCTAAGGTCCTGCATCTCCTTTTATCTGAGCCTGCTGGGCTCTTTATTGGCTGCTTCCTTCTGGTTTTTCTAGGGTGGCCTGGAGGACCCACCTTCATTGCTCCTTCCTGGGGCAGGGTGTAGTAGGACCTCAGTGCCTCCAGCAGGGGGCCACAAAGGGCCGAGTACACCCCATCACAGTGAACAATTTTTTTTTAGCGCTGTAAATGCTTACGTATATATCTACAGGGTTCTTTTAGTAATGTCATTATACCAGATGACTAAACTAAAACACCAATACCAATGGCAAACCAAATCTACTAGGCAGACTAAAGGAAAACTTTTCTTTAGACTTCTTGTTTGTAAATGTGTTTGGTTTTGTTCAGAGAAGACATGGCCAACAGAGTCAATCAAATTTATTTTAAAATAACACACTAAAAATTATATTTTATAATTTGGGGTGCTGTACATATTTTTCTTTGCATTTTTATCATTAATTCTACTAAAGGGACGGTACGTACATAAAAAAGTTGGCTCTGAGTGTAATTGTGTGACAGGATTACTTGTGATGGTAAGGGGCAGGGCTCAACAGCTCTGGGCTCACTTCTGGTTTATGTTCTATGTTCTTAAAGCTCATGCTTCAGGGTTTCAGCCAGCCACTGCTCATGGCAGGGTCGTGAAGGGATTTTTCGCCCCCAATGTGTTCTGGAAGGTTGGGGTTTTTTTTAATCTTTTTCCTCTGAAGCCTCGGATGACCATGGCTAGAGAAGGGACATTGCATGGTCTGGGCTAGGGCTCTGAGGTGGCACTGAGCATTCTCTCTCTCTCTCTCTCAGAGGTGCTTGGCTGGCCAGTTCTTGCCGACAAGCTCTAGTACAGGGGTGGGCAAACTACGGCCCGCGGGCCCCGCGATGCTCTCCAGAAGCGGCCGGCACCACTTCCCTGAGGCCCCCAGGCGGGGGCGCAGAGGGCTGTGTGCGTTGCGTTTGCCTCCAGGCACCGCCCCCCTCAGCTTCCATTGGCCGGGAACAGGGAACCGCGGTCAATGGGAGCTTCGGGGGTGGTACCTGGAGGCGCAGCAAGGGCAGCACACACGGAGCCCTCCACCCTCCCTCGTGCGGGGCCAGGGACAGGGCAGGCAGGCAGAGAGCCTGCCCTGGCCCTGGTGTGTGCCGCTGCCACCCTGGAGCCCGAAGCCCTCCTGCACCCTGCCCCCCAGCTTCCTGCCCTAAGCCCCCTGCCTGCACCTCGCACCCCTCCTGCACCCCAACCCCCTGCCCTGAGCCCCCTGCTTCACCCTGAACTCCCCAACCCCCTGCCCTGAGCCTCCTTGTACATCCTGCACCCCAACCCCCTTTCCTGAGCCCCCTGCCGCACCCTGCACCCCTCCTGCACGCCAGCCCCCTTCCCTGAGCCCCCTCATACACCCCGCACCCCTCCTCTGCCCAATCCCTTGCCGTGAGCCCCTTCCTGCACACCGCACCCCCTCCCACACCCCACACTCCCTCCCGCACCCCAACCCCCTGCTCCGGCCCTGCATACAATTTCCCCACCCAGATGTGGCCCTCGGCCCAAAAAGTTTGCCCACCCCTGGTTTAGTAGATCACCATATATGGGGTCGGGAAGGAATTTCCCCTCAAGTCAGATTGGCAATAATGTTGGGGGATTTTCACCTTCCTTTGCAGTGCCTTGGTGCAGGATTATCTGGTACATCTCACTTAATTGTTTCCCTGCCACTGCAGGGGCATTGCACACTGGTGCACCTTGGTCCCTCCTATTCTGTGCCTGTGGCACATAATAGTCTTATCTCCCTGGAAAGTAATACTTTGGTCTCGTTTCGGATGTTGGATTTGGTGTGTGGGTGCTAGGTGGGGTGGTGGCAGCGGCGTGTGCTATACAGGAGGTCATACAAGATGATCTAATGGTCCCTTCTGGCCTTAAACTCTCGAACTCTTACATATCTTTTTGCAGGCAATTTCTGCTGATGTATTTCTGCTCATGTAAGTAATGGACACTTAACCAATACAACTGGTAAAAATATGCCATTGAAAGACTCTGGACACATAGGCATTAATTTAAAATAAGTAATGAAATAGACAGCTTGGTTGTATCACCCTGCACTCTTTGCGTGTGTTAATCTAAATAAACACTATAGCTGGCATTTGGTTTTCTTTCTGCAGGAAATTATGTTGCAGTGGGTAACATGACCCCTGTTATTGAGATCTGGGACCTTGATATAGTGGATTCTCTAGAGCCAGTCTTTTCCCTTGGAAGTAAAAAAGAAAAGAAGAAGAAGAAGAAAAAGGGAAAGAAGGTAAATAATGCGTGTCTGCTGATCTGTTTAGATTGTAAAAGCTGCAGGCAGGGACCATGTCTTTGTCTTGTAAAGTTATGAGCCCAGTAATGCACACAGATACTTGCATCTTTTTGTTGTTTTTTTTTAAATTAAAGTATAAGGTTTGGTTTAGTTACCTTTGCCAGAGACACTGCATCTGAAAGATACTATTTGGGCAGTTCACAGAAACTCTAAACATGGCTCTATCCAAATAGCTGCTAATTTATATATCATCCAGCTCAAGAGCCCACTCTTCTGAGTAATTGAGAAAAGGTTTTACTTTTTTACCCCCTCAGACCTTTAGATCGTAGAAGGCCCAATGGAGAAGAGTAATGATTCTATGTAACTTGCTGCTGAAAAGTTCGGATATATACGACTAATGTTTGCCGTAGCATTTCGTTAATTTAAAAATCTAGAGGATCTCTCTCACTTACAGGTTACTGGGTTGGGGAGGGAAAAATAGGAGGAGGAAGGATCCTGGAGGACTCCCATTTACTCAGAACAATGTTCTATGTAGCTTAACTCTTTCATTTCTTAATTTAAAAAAAAAGGGGGGGGGCGGGGTAAGCATTAGGAGGTAGTGAATCAGTGTTGATTGAGGAGAAGGGGGCAGAGTGGGAACCAGAACAATGGGAGTGAGCAGAGAGAATGTGGGGACCCAAAGACGCTCCATGCCAACTGGTGACTATTTGAATCTGTGCCAGCTGGTGAAAGGGAGTAGCTATTGCTGCATGCTGGCCAGATAAGGGAAGAAAGGGGAGAAGAGGCAAGCTGAGAGGAGGTGCTGCAGAGGCAGCTCTGTACAGAGAACATTTCAGCAGGGGGGAATACGTTGAATTATCACGCTGTTCCGAATCTGCGCCTATAACAGTACGTTAATAAAGACATGATTTTTCCTGGAAGCTATAACTTTTTTAAACCTCTTTAAAATGTATCTGTCTACAGAATTCGTCTACAGAAGGGAATCAGGATGGGCATACTGATGCAGTTCTTGACCTTTCATGGAATAAGCAAAACAGGTAAAAGAACACTTGAGTGATTACAGACAGATAACTATAAATTAGTGTACATGGTTTTGTATGAAATATTTATACAGACCTATAACTTTATTGCTTAAAGATCAACTTAGTGTAGTGCAGAAGTTAATCCAGCTGAAAAGTACTTGAATTCTACACAAGCGAAAATTGAGACTGCCTCAGTTTTTATCAACAGGCAGGGAGGAGCGAGATCCTCCTCTCTGTGCACTGAAGCTATGAAACTATGGGATTTGTGCATAGCTCATCAGATGCAAATTTCAGCAGTCTACCTCACAGGTATTCAGAACACCACACCCGATATCTTCAGCAGACACTTCTCACAGGATTACGAATGGGAGCTAAACACTGAAGTTCTGCATAGTATATTCCGAAGATGGGGGCTGCCAGAGTTCCAGGAACAGGAAGTGTCCTCGTTTCTGCGCAAGAGGGTTTGGGCAACCACTCCTTGGGAGATGCCATTCTTCTATCTTGTGTTTCCTCCAGCACTACTGATACTAAGGGTGATGAACAAGATAAGACAGGACAGATCCAGATTTATCCTGATAGTGGCAACCTGGCTGAGACAAGCTTTGTACCCTTACCTGCTTCATATGTGTGTCCAACTGTCGTTCAAGCTCCTGACCGTTCTACATTTCCTGTCACAGGATGTGGGTTGTGTGCTTCATCCCACTCTAGTGGTTCTCCGCCTGATGGTGTGGCTTCCGGATGGTTTACGGGGTTAGAATCCTCCTGCTCTATAGAAGCACAGCAGGTCTTACTGAAAGAGATCAACCCACATTACTTACCTGCAGAAATGGAGGAGATTCTTCTATTGGCATTGCTGCCTCCAGCCTGATTTGGTGCCACTTTGTCATCCTGGTTTACATGTTGGATCTAAAGAAATTGGGATTATCAATTAGTTTGATTTAAGTTCCATTTGGCTGCAATATCAACCTTCATCCTCCAGTAGAAGGATTCTCTCTATTTGCTCATCCAGTATTGTTTAGGTTTAGTAAGGGTTTGGAGACTCTCTATCCGCAAATTAGAAACCCTATCCCAACTTGGGACCTCAACCTGATACTCAGTTACCTTATGAGACCTCCATTCGAACCAATGGCAACCTGTTGTCTGTTGCATTTATCTATAAAGATGGACTTTTTAGTAGCTATCATGTCAGCCCGTAGCGTCGTGGATATTGGAGCCCTAATGGCAGATTGCCCCCCATCCCCACCCCTTACGGTCTTCTTTAAGGACAAGGTCTCTTTACATCCATACCCTAAATTCTTACCTAAGATTCTATCGGAGCTCTGCCTTAATCAGTCCATTCATCTACCAGTATTTTTGCTGAAGCCACATGGTTCTCTACAGGAATCCTGTTTACACATTCTGGATGTTAGAAGGGCATTAATCTTCTACTTAGATAGGACCCAGCAATATAGGAAGTCACCTAAGCTCTACATTTCTTTCATGAATAGATTCACAGGGTTCTCGATTTCTACTCAGAGACTGTTGAGGTGGCTATCTGGATGTATTATTATTATCACTTGTTACGATACTGCAAGCGTTCATCCCCTCCTTCTCCACCCCCCCCTCCCAAAAAAGGGTGATAGCATATTCAACTAGATCACAGGCAATAAATATCTATGGCATTACTGAAGTATGTACCAGTATCTGAAATATTTAGGGCTGCTACATGGGCTTAGGGGCATATGTTTTCAAAACATTACGCCCTGGTTCAAGCTGTCAGATTCAATGCAGCATTTGGTTCTGCAGTACTGTTGGCAGCACGGGATTCTATTCTGAAGCTCCCTCCTCCATCAGGGGAAACTGTTTGGAAGCCACCAGAAGTGAAGCAACCATCAGGACAGTACTTGAAGAAGAAGAAGAAGAAGAAGATGAGATTGCTCACTTTGTGCAGTAACAGCGGTTCTTCAAGATGTCTATCCCTATGGGTGCTACACTACCCGCCCTCCTCCCCATCTGCTTCAGACTGTTCCTTAGGGGGCGTTTGGGTGGAGAAGGAACTGAGGGCACTTTGCCCATACACTCTATATAGCCTTGGTATCCAGCATGAGGAGCACATAGGGCATGTGCACAGGCCGAACGGGCACTGCTAACTGAAAATCTCTGATCAAGGGCTCAAGAAGCACATGCGCACCTGAAGTGGAGCACCCATAGGCACCCACATCTCAAAGAACCGCAGTTACTGCACAAGGTGATTAACCCCTTCTTCCTATCACCTAGGTTGGTTTTTCAATAACACAATTAGTACAGGATCCTCAGCCAGGGTCTTGTAAATGGCTTTTCCAATTAGATACAGTATGATCTTTTCCTCCTGCTGCTAACTCTCTCTGAGGATACACTTGTCAGTTCTGCATACTCATTTTCAGCAGCTGTCAGCAATCTCCTCTGAAAACTCCTGGTTTTATCCGGATATTACAGATGAAAAAATTCTCCTGTAGATATTCACTGAACATACAAGGAATTATTAGATGTTAATGGGCCATGTGTTGTCTACTGCAAAAAGAATGAGTCAATTGACTACGGTGAATGTAAGAAATGATTTAGTGATGGCTCAGTCAACGGTACTCAGTTTGTCTGCAATCGTTCAGCCTTTATCATGGCTAACACCAGCAGCGTGTAACTAGAAAGTCACTTTCATGATGACTAAAAGCAGCTGATCGTTGTAGGAGTAATTTGAGTGACCTTGTATAATATTAAGCCCCTGTACGAAGCTGAATAAGTGATTGGCATTCCTGGTTCTGTAGTGTACTGAGTAATATAACCTTGTTGACACCAATGGATGTTGCAGGAAAAACGAATCCTGAAATGCAAAGGTTGGGTGCAAGTCAAGAACTCAAAGAGCAATCTTAGTGCAGCATTTTAAATTGCATTTTAAAAAGTAAGACAAGCTATGACAGCTGCCTACAAATCGCTTTCTGGCTGAAGGGCCTCACTGGCATTATTTGTAAAATGTCCTTGTAATCTGTACTGTGCCTTTTGTAAATTTCCCCTCTGTGGCGTCGCTTTGGGGGAAACAGTATTTTGGAGGAATGTTAAATGTCTTTCAGTCAAGAACTTCATTCTAATATGGAAAGCAGGGGGAAGGCTTCAAACTGTGTGTTAGATTTTATAATTTAACACCTTTAGACAAATAAGGGTGATTTTTGTTGTGCATTTAATAAATCTCTGACAGTGCTGCTTGGGCTTTGTCTGATTCAAGTTCTTATCTCTGTATTTACAGCCCTTACCACCATTAATTTTTAAATATGAAACGAGGGCCCAAATGTAAAAACCTTGCAAGTAGCTCCTTTGACTTCAGTAGGATGACTTGTTAGAGTAAGATACTCTATGAGGAGAGTTGCAGGTTCGGGCTGTTAATTTAGTTAGTGGAGAGTCTAAAGAGGAAAGTATTTGCCAAAAATGGGTTTGTTTGTCTCTTAGCTATGTCAATACAATATTCAAATCTATACTGTGTAGCTCATATTTAAAAAACCCATCTTAAAATGTACAGAAAGGAATAAGTCCTCAAACTTCTTAGTTATATCACTGGTACCATATAATTGACGGGAGAATATTTTTTTGGGGAGGAGAGGGGGGAGAAACACACAACTGTATGAACAGTACACTAAAGGTATATCCCTTCAGTACAATAGTGGATTTTCTGTTCAGAAAATTGTAACACATTGCTATTAAATACCGAATGTAATATTCTTCTGCCAGATTATCTTTTATGCTTGAAGGTTGTAGGCTGAAGACCTGGGCTTACTTGAAATCAGAATCAGGCTGTGTATTTTTGACTTAGGGCCACTATTTGTTCACATATATGTAAATATCTAAAGCTGTTGCTTTTGTATGTTGTTAGAAATGTGTTAGCAAGTGCTTCAGCTGACAACACTGTAATTCTGTGGGATATGTCCGTGGGTAAACCGGCAGCGAACCTTACTTTACATATGGACAAGGTATGTGGATATTGTTATATTTCTTCTGTTGTAAAATATAGAAAAAAATCAAACTGCAACTTATAACATTGAAAGCTTAGTGGCAAACACTAATGTTGCAAAACTGCTTTGGTTATAACCACCATGTCAAACGTTCATAATTTTCTGAGTGAATCACTTTTGTGGATTACACTATTTGGTCTCTGTCAAAATCTGATTTATTTTATCCTCTGGAAAGTTTGAGGGAATATTTGACTCAGCTTTTTAGGGCGTCTTAAAATGCTTTTCATCTAAATGTAACCCCATGACTGTTTTAAGACAAGGAGAAGCCTAAAAGTGCTGTCATAAGTGACAGAAGAATCGACCCGCAAGAATGGGCTGCTAGATTGTCAGTAGTTCCTTTATAGGACAGTGAGTAATGGTAACAATGTTTCTAGCACAGGTACGTTTTAATTAGGGCTGTCAATTAATCGCTGTTAACTCACGTGATTAACTCAAAAAAATTAATCGCAATTAATCGCATTGTTAAACAATAGAATATCAATTGAAATTTATTAAATATTTTGCACGTTTTTCTACATTTTTAATATATTGATTTCTGTTGCGACACAATACAAAGTATACCGTGCTCACTTTATATTTTTTATTACAAATATTTGCACTGTAAAAATGATAAAAGAAATAGTATTTTTCAATTCACCTCACAAGTACTGTAGTGCAAGCTCTTTATTGTGAAAGTGTAATTTACAAATGTAGATTTTTTTTATTTTATTTTTTTTGGTTAGATAACTGCACTTAAAAACAAAACAATGTAAAACTTTAGAGCTTACAAGTCCACTCAGTCCTACTTCTTGTTCAGCCAATCGCTAAGACAAACAAATGTTTACGTTTACGGAAGATAATGCTGCCTGCTTCTTATTTACAAGGTCACCTGAAAGTGAGAACAGACGTTCGCATGGCACTGTTGTAGCCGGCATCACAAGGTATTTACGCACCAGATATGCTAAACATTTGTATGCCCCTTCATGCTTCAGCCACCATTCCAGAGGACACACTTCTGTGCTGATGACGCTTGTTTAAAAAAATAATGCTTTAATTAAATTTGTGACTGAACTCCTTGGGGGAGAATTGTATGTCTCCTGTTCTATTTTACTTGCATTCTGCCATATATTTCATATTATAGCAGTCTCGGATGATGACCCAGCACGTTGTTCGTTCTAAGAACACTTTCACAGCAGATTTGACAAAATGCAAAGAAGGTACCAATGTGAGATTTCTAAAGATAGCGACAGCACGCAACCCAAGGTTTAAGAATCTGAAGTGCCTTCCAAAATCTGAGAGGGATGAGGTGTGGAGCATGCTTTCAGAAGTCTTAAAAGAGCAACACTCAGATGCGAAAACTACAGAACTCAAACCACCAAAAAAGAAAATCAACCTTCTGCTTGTGGCATCTGACTCAGATGGTGAAAATGAACATGTGTTGGTCCACTCTGCTTCAGATTGTTATTGAGCAGAATCTGTCATCAGCATGGACACATGTCCTCTGGAATGGTGGTTGAAGCATGAAGGGAGATATGAATCTTTAGCACCTCTGGCACGTAAATATCTTGCAACACCAGCTACAACAGTGCCATGTGAACGTCTGTTCTCACTTTCAGGTGACATTGTAAACAAGAAGCGGGCAGCGTTATCTCCTGCAAATTGTAACCAAACTTGTTTGTCTGAGCGATTGGCTGAAGTAGGACTTAGTGGACTTGTAGGCTCTAAAGATTTACATTGTTTTGAATGCAGTTTTTTTGTACAAATTTCTGTTTGTAAGTTCAACTTTCATGATAAAGAGATTGCACTACAGCAGTGGTTTTCAAACTATGGGTCGCGACCCAGTACTGGGTCGCGGAATGTAAGGCACTGGGTTGCAGCGGCTCTGGTCAGCACCGCCGACCGGGCCGTTAAAAGTCCCGTTGGCAGTGCTGCCCTGCTAAGGCAGGCTAGTCCCTACCTGACACCACACTGCACCCCGGAAGCGGCCAGCAGCAGGTCCGGATCCTAGGCGGGGGAGCCACTGAGCTCCGCACACTGCCTGCGCCCCGAGCACCAGCTCCTGGCCAATGGGAGCTGGGAGTGGGGCGGTGCCTGCGGGCGAGAGCCGCATGGAGCCACTTGCATGCCTCCGCCTAGGAGCCGGACCTGCTGCTGGCCGCTTCCGGGGTGCAGTGCAGTCTGCGGTGCCAGGACAGGCAGGAAGCCTGCCTTAGCACCCTCACTGCGCTGCTGACTGGGAGCTGCCCGAGGTAAGCCCATGCCCCAACCCCGCGCCCCAATCCCCTGCCCCAGACCTGAGCCCCCTCCCAAATCCAGAGCCCCTTCCTGCACCTCAGCCCCTAATCCCCGGCCCCAGCCCAGAGCCTGTACCCCCAGCCCAGAGCCCTGACCCCCTCCCTGCACCCCAACCCTCTGCCCCAGCCCTGAGCCCCCTCCCACATCCTGAACCCCTCATTCCTGGCCCCACCCCGCAGCCCTCACCCTCTGCCCCAGCCCTGAGCCCCTCCCACACCCCAAAACCCTCATCCCCAGCTTCGTTGGGTCGCGAGCATCAACAATTTTCTTCAACTGGGTCGCCAGAAAAAAAGTTTGAAAACCACTACACTACTTGTATTAGGTGAAATGAAAAATACTATTTCTTTTGTTTTTTACAGTGCAAATATTTGTAATAAAAATAAATATAAAATGAGCACTGTACACTTTGTATTCTGTGTTGTAATTGAAATCAATATATTTGAAAATGTAGAAAACATCCCAAAATATTTAAATAAATGGTATTCTATTATTGTTTAACAGCGTGATTAATCTTTTTAATCGCTTGACAACCCTAGTTTTAATATGTGGCACCTAGATATTATGGTGACAGGTGCTTTAGAAATACTTAGCTCTTTTTGTAATTAAAATGTGAAAATTATTAATATAATCCCAATCATCTAGTCAACATAGATCAGTAGATCACTGCTCTTGGAAAACTTCTCATGTCTCTTTTTTTTTGCTACTGCATGCATAGTTATACAGTTGTTTTTTGTCCAACTGGAAGCAGATTTTTTTTACCTGCCCCAGCTTATTTTTTTGAAGATTTTTGGCAAATCGTGTATTTCTAGTTTCACCTCTGGTGAGGTCCTCTTGGAAATCTAAAATATACATCTTCTATATTGCTAGATGCATACTCTGCTTTGTGAAAAGGTCTTGACTACCAACAAGTATAACAGAGTTATATGGAATAGTGCTGTACCTTATCCTGCATGACACTGACTGAAACAGATGTCCTGTATGTATTTTAAATCCCAATGTGTGTTTCTAAAACTTTCAATGTCCTTATTAGGTCCAGACACTACAATTTCATCCATTTGAAACACAGACGCTTGTTTCTGGATCTTATGATAAGTAAGTGGGGAAATATTTGCTTTTCGCACTATTGTAGGTGGGTCTGGTAGCACCACATTTTATTCAGGTTGCTGGATACTTCCTATTATAAAACCTCATTTTCTGTAGCTTATAACTTTGCCAAATTTTAACTGTTTGGGATGAAGTTTTCCATGCCAGGTGTCTGCCTCATGCTAATTCTTAATTAATTAATTAATTCAGCCAGAATGGTTTGGCTGCTTCCAAAAATGAGGTTGGGGAAAATGTTTTCCCCTCTCAAATAAATAAATAAGTAAAAATCCTGGCTACATTTTCTTCGTAAAGCTCTAGCGATCCCATGCTTTGGATCAGGTACTTGAAGTTTGGCAGTAGGGGGTGGCCTTTGTCCCAGGAAGGTGCATTTCTTCATTCCCATGAAAAACAGCCTAAATCTGGTCAATTTATACGCCTTTGAACAATTGCAGTTCACATATGCTCAGTAGAGACTTCTGTGCTCTTGTTGTTCCTCTCTCCATTGGGCCTAGGTAGCACACATGAGGAAGTAAGCTGATTTGAATGAAGAAGGGACACGAACCAGACCTATGGGAGGTGTAGATTAGGTTCATGAGACCTATGGGAGGTTGGGGGGAGAGGACTGAGTCGGGGGACTATCTGGGCAAGCAAACTTGGAGCTAGTGGATTGGAGGGAAGAAGATATGGCGAGGGGAGAACAGCTCTGATGGGGAGCTGGGGTGCAAAGGGAGAACTGGTAATGGCTGGACAAAGAGACTGGGACAAGTAGCCAGGAGGGGGATATAGGGGGCCGTGGGGATGAGGAACGTGGGTTGGGGGAGGTGACAGGAGGCATGAGAGTGACAGATTGGCTAAGGAGCCAGGAGGAGTGGAATTGGGAATGGGTGTGGACAGTGGCTGGAATGGGCTATATGGAATGGTGAGGATAGGACTTGCGGCCAAGGTGACTGGGACTAGGATGAGAAGCCTGAGGAATGGAGATAGGGACTGGGACAGAGACAGAATTGGAATAGGGACAAGTTGGAGAGGATGGGGCAAAGGGGATCATGTTTGGGGGGAATAGGCAGAAGTCTGTGCCCCAGACCAGACTTTTTTCCCCAGAGCTTGGAATGGAACCCAAGATTCCTGAGTATCAACATTCCTCATCTGTCAGCAAATACACTGGCAAAGTGTCCCATCCCACTCTAGTGTTGGTCCACATAGAGGATGATAACCTACTATTAGCAGTTACTGTTAGCTCAAGTGGCAGATGTCTCTGCAGTGGAGCTAAGGGTTCCAACCCTGACGATGGATGAGCCATGTCTGTCAGTGCGGTACCACATGATGGAAATTGGGTGTTTTTAGTTTGCCTTTTTTTTAAATGTAGGAAGTTACACAGAACTGCATAAAAAGGCCTTTATTAAAGTTGAGAAGTAAAGCACTCAGAAGTTCAGAAATGCTAGAATGAAGGTTGCCTGTGCAGCCTGAGTTTGGCTCCCCTGTGTGTCTGCATTATGGTACAGTCTTCAATTATATGATCACATACTATTTTTTCCACAGGATGCCTGCCTGACTTGTTACATGGGATGGACCTGATCTGGGAATGAATTGGGGTTTTGTAGTGAAAGAGACTTTTGTCTGTAGGATGCCTGTTTCATTTCTTGCAGAAATTGAGAGCTGTGTAGTAAATGAATCAGGGAACTGCATGAAGAGAAAAGATGGTCTCAGGTTGAATGCTGCCCTGGAAAATGGGATTCTATCCCTGCGTGAGTTCCTGTGTGATCTTGGGCAAGTCACTTAAGCCAAATATTTCACAGATTGCCACTAACTGTATATTCCTCATTTCCTGGATGCCAAACTAGAGACCCTGGGGTCTGATTTGCAGAAGTGTTGAGCACTCATAGCTGCAATTATAGTCAGTCGGAGCTGTGCTTTGAACATATTAAGTGCTATATCATGTTAACTACTCTGAAAAATCAGGTTCTATACATCTCAAATAGAGCACCCAGAATTAGTAGATACTTTTGATATTCATTTCTCTGTTCCTCACTTCTCCATCTGTAAAACTGGGATAATACCTCCTCACAGAGATGTTGTGAAGATAAATTAATGTTTGTGAGGTACTCAAATACTATAGTGATGAGCACTATAGAAAAGCCAATGAGGAGATCCTCTCTGTGGAGCAGGGGTTGAATAGTGTGCAGTAAATAAGGCGTGGGGCCACCTGCTGCACAGTGAGAAAACAAAATATTGAGTAGCTGCTCATCCATTTTGTGCACTGCATAAGGTGCAGGGGTCCTGTGGAAAAAATCGGATGTGATCATGTCATTAAAGACTCTCTCCTGATGTGTGCTCGCAAGAGGGCTGAATTAAGGTTGCACAGGCATTTTGCCATTTCCTAACTTTTGAGTGCTTGACTTTGTGACCTTACTAATGTTCTTTTAATGTAGTTTTTTGTTTGTAATATATAAAGGGACAGAAAGTGTTCATAAGGGAATACAGAGGTTCCCGCTTTGGTGTATAGTCACTTCGCTGTTTCTTAGCTATACTTCCTGTGTGTATGTTCTCTGCTAAAATACCAGTCATCCTGTTTCAGTTATTAATTTATTTAGGTATTCTCTTAGCAAATCTTTGTTTCCAAAGCTTGCATTTGACTACTTCAGAAGGACCTGTTCTCATATTTGTCTGAGAGGGGAGTAATTTTATCTGATTTATGGTACCCACCGTAATTTCATTTGTTCACCGTAACTGCTCTTTCCTGTCAAATTTCTGTTCTAGTTTTTAATGCTTTCCCTTTACATTACCACATTTAAAAATGTATCCAAGGCAGTCCCCCTTTTCATTTGCTGCATTTAGCTTATCTTAGAAATCTGGTACATTCTCTTAAAATATTTAGCTGGCCTCTGGGATGGTTTTGAGTCTACTCCTATCTCCCTTTTTTTGCTGGGGCAGACTTCACCAAGTCATCTGCAGTCAGTCCTCCAATGCCATAAGCACCCGTAAAGCATTGTACTGATTTCCTTAAAGTATCCTGTGACCTAGAAGTAGTTGAAGGCTTCTGGAGGGTGTTTGTTGAAATGTGCTTTCATGACATAAAAGTCAAGGAAATCTATTAAAAGCTATGCTGTAGCTAAAATTGTGCTTTTCTACTGTGTGATGGAAGACGTGAGGCTTTCAGATCAATGTTTGTTTGGGCTTTTTATGTTTTTGTTTTTAAACTACAAGATAGTGTGGGAACAGGTTACATTGTGGGTATTAACTGAGTTGAAGAGGTTTCTAAAGCTATGGTGTCTCTTTCCTCCTTTCAGGGGTGAAAGTAAGCCGGTACGGGCCAGTAAAAAGTGTTTGCCAATACTGGCCCGTACCCAGCTGGCTTTAAAGCAGGGTCCTTTGCAGTGGCAGCGCTTTAACGTCGCTGTCCCTTTTGCGCCCCCCGTCGGTGGCCCTGCTGGGTCCCTTAAAGCACTGCCGCGGCAAAGGGCCCTGCTTAAAGCACTGCCCCTTTGCCGCTGTGCCCCTCCAGCCGCCGATTGGGTGGGGGGGAGGAGCAGCTGCCCTGGGGCTGCCGATTTAAAAGGGCCTGGGGCTCCGGGTGCTGCGGCAGCGGCTGGAGTCCCGGGCTCTTTAAATCACCGCTGGGGCCCCGGGCGGTACGGGCCAGGCAGCGTGGAAGGGCTGGCTGGGGGATGCTGACCCCCAAGCCCCGCCCCTTCTGCCCAAGGCCCCACCCCTTCTGGAGGCGGGAGCCAGTCCCCGTACTGGTAAGTCTTCGGCTTTACTTTCATCCCTGCCTCCTTTCATTAACATCAAACAACTTCGGCATGCTTGCTGCCACTTGAAGAGTTTCTGCCCCATTGGGCTCAACACAAGAATTATCAGAGTCCCACATGAGCCACTCATTCTCATCTGCTCTCGCTCGTTTTAAATATAGGATCTCCCCAGCCACTTCTAAAGCTTAATTTCCTGTTTAAAGCGTACTGGAAAATACACACAAGATGCATTTTTCATAAATTGATTTCCTAACTAATATTTTATTTTCTAACAAACTGGTTATTTGAAACTAGTAAAATGAAATGATGTATGTTCATATTGAAGTGATATGTTGGTGTATAATTCTGGCCCCTATGCGATAGTATTTCCTGTGTAGTGTAGTGATTGTATTGGAATTCATCTGCCTCATTTAGTCTCAAGAGAATGGCTCTTGTACCCACAAGAAACACCTTGGTGCATAATATAAATCCTTTCTACACCTTTAGCATCATCTTTTATTTGCTTTTTCAAAAGTGAATCTGAAAACCTAAATATTTCCTGTGTTTTGAAGCTGCTTCCATTAAAATTCATGAATAAATTAGTGAAAACATTGCTAGGTGATGATGATAAAATAAATTTCATGAAATGTTCTGATGTGATTTCTTCTAGGTCTGCTGTCCTGTATGACTGTAGAAGTCCTCAGGATAACCATCGAATCTGGCGGTTTAGTGGACAGGTTGAGAGAGTGACTTGGAATCATTTTTCACCTTGTAACTTCTTAGTGAGTATATATTGTATATTCTTTCAATATACACTTTTGGCTATCGTTGTTGCACTTTACCTGTTAATCAAAGATAAATGTGTAGCTATTCAGCTGTTGTCACTGCTATTTCATGGACTGAGTTGAGCTACCAGCATTTTCCACCTTGATTGATAACCCACTAACAATTAAGAATACTGATTACTTATGAATTTGGTATCTTTTTTCACATGAATGCAATTACACCATCACTAAGCCAATTTGTGCTGTTTCCTTATCACCCTGGAGACTTATTTCTTAGCCATGTTTCATTAATTTCTGGTGGTTGAAGCAGATTTTCCTCTACTGCAGCCCTGTTACATCTCACTGTTACCCTCTACTGATATGTTACTTGCTCAGGATTTTTATTTCAAACATTTTAAGTGTAGATGAGACAACTTTAATTTAATTCCTTACTTAAGCACTAGAAGGCACTGTCTCACAAGTGTAGCTGGGCAAAAAAACCTGAAATTTTAATGAAAAAACAGGATTAGACAGGAATTCAGTCTCCACATCTCATTCACTTCTTCACTTACAGTCACCAAAAGTGACTTGCATTTCATTACATTTGTGAAGTAATCACCTTTTTGCTAAGACCACCAACTCATTTTGCATGGACCAGACATCAGATAACTTTTCAGTTACTATGGACCGGGGATAGATTTGAACTGGTAGCCAAGAGGTGAAAGGCTCCATATCCTCTGACATACTGGGGAACAGTCCAGACCATTGAGGGGCTGTGTCACCCCTGCCCTGTAATTTAACGGATAATATACAGTAGCCTGTTATCTTAAATAATTACCCAGGCACTTCAATTTAAACACACTGGATTAGATAAAATCTATTTCTTTGTAGTTAATGAATTTGTTTTATTGTGAGTACAAGTAATGAGGCATAAAAGTCAGAAATAGGCGCTAGAAAATGTTTTATTTTTCTTGTAACTAACTTCACAGACTATATTAGATTCAAGCAAAATATCTCACCACATGCTTCTAGCAGCATTACTGACCAAACTCTTCAGATCAGAACCTCTCCCCCACAGTTCCATGGCTGTTTCCTGTGTCTTCTCAGGTGCAGAGAATAAGGTGGGCAGGGAAAAAGAAAATGGCGTCTTGGGGTATTTGCCCCTCCTTTTTTATAGTTCCTCTTTGAAAAGCATTTCCAGCTGAGAACCAGGAGACAGGCAGTCTGCTGAAAGAAGGAGACTCAATGCTGTTTCTTTGTTGAGATGCAGATCTCTTGGTCCTTGCCTCCCTTCCTTGTCAAAGACTTGTCTGGGAAATGTACTTCAGTCATGATTTTAGCTTATGTTCATAACTTCACATATAATGTTGCTATATGCACTTTACCTTGATATTACTGATCAGCAAGTTGAGTTTTCAAATGATACATCACAAGGCATACCTTATACAAAGGTTATTACAATAGTGCATAGGGTATGAACTCAGGGGTGTCTTCCATCACATACCCCATTACCTAGTGTTTGAGTCATCCAGCATGTTAGGTGTGCAAGCTATCTAAGTGCAAGCTTAATCAAGCGTAATTTCTTGTTTAAGAAATGTGTGTTCATCTTGTTCAGGATACTATAATATAAAATCTGAATTTTATTGGATTTTACAAACTTTAGATTGGATGCTTAATTCTTAGGCTGTTTCTCGTGAATTGATATGGCAATTTCTTTTGACAATGTAATGTTTTCCCCAGGCTAGCACAGAAGATGGCTTTGTGTACTGTCTAGATGCTCGTTCCGATAAGCCACTTTTTACTCTGAAGGCTCATAATGAAGAAGTATCTGGTAAATTTTATGTCTTCCTTTTATATATAAAACGTGCCCATTAACGTGTAGTTGGAATAAGTCTTTTAAATAATTAAGTAAATATGAACTTGTTTGAGAGAGGCAGCCTTTTGTTTAGCAAAAACCTTTAATACTAATCATGGTAGCTGGCCATTTAAATGGCCTCTTGGTCGAGTTGTATTTTAAGGGATGTATGTTTTGACCATAATGCATTTTTCTCATAGAATTACATGAATAAAAATGGCAAAGCAGATCTCACTGGTTTGGGTCACATTCTTGAATGAAGTAGTTTTGCATAAAATTATTCCTGCATGAAGAGGATTCTGCAAAAACAAAAAAACCCAAAACACCATTGATCTTTTTTATATTTTAGTTTTTTAGATTAATAATCTCTCTCACACTCTGGGGATCAGTGATTATTAATACTAATACGTACACACGCTGCAACTGCCTCAAAAATGAGCACATAGTCTGGGATAACAAAAAGAGGTCTCTCACTCATAGTTGAAAGAGGAGGCCATGAGGCTGGACAGTTTTCAGAGAAGCCATGAAGTAAGGAATTAGCAGTTGGAAGGAGAGGATTGAGCCATGATTGAAGTCCAAGAGGTCCTGGTTACTGCCAGAGGAGAAAGGGACACTGAAGGTTTTTCACACCCAGAAGGATCCCTGCTTCTCCCACTAAGTGCGGGGGGAGCCACAATGTTTCTATTAGTCTCCACACTGGTTCCTTTAAGGCACATGGAGGCTGAGGTTCTTTCGACTTCCCTTTAAAATGTTACACAGGGAAGAAAAATATGTAACAATTAAATGGTGATTTTAAACTGATCTATTCTAACTTTTTCAGGACTCCAATTAAGCAGTCAGATCAAAGGGTGCCTTGTGACATCATCTGCTGACAAATATGTAAAAATTTGGGATATATTGGGGGACAAACCAAGTCTGATCCATTCCAGGGATATGAAAATGGTAGGTAACTTATAGGTCACTTCTAAGAAAGTTTACTTATAAACCATGATTAATAGAGCTCACTTCTGATTTTAACCAGGCTTCATTGTCTCGTTCTCCTTAACACTTCAGATGAATTGGGCATCTTGTCCTGGGTACTGTTAGTACATCACACAATTCAACACATGACTGGCAGCCTCTGCTTTAAAAATACCCAATTTTTACAAAATCATTCAAAATCAGTTTTCAAGAGGCATAGCAGGGCCTTACATTTGTTTAACTTGTTCTGTTAAGGTGACTGTTTTTTTACATTAAAACAATATTTTTTCCTCTAGGGTGTTCTCTTCTGTGCAGCTTGTTGCCCTGATTTGCCATTTGTCTATGCCTTTGGAGGGGAGAGAGAAGGGCTTCGAGTCTGGGATATAAGCAGTATTTCTGCAGGTAACATCATCTCATTATTCAGAGTTTCAGGATTCTATTTTTTCTCCCTAATATACTGCATGTCCAGTAATACATCAAATGAAGCAACAAGGCAGTTGTGAGAGAACTGCAGGCTTCCGGTGGGTAATGAAGTGTGTCCAGCATCCTGTTACGTTGTTCTGCTGCTAACAGTGTGCCACGCACTTTGGGTAGATTAGTCTCTGCCCTCGTGAGGTTTCAGTCTAAGTGGAATAGATGCCTTGATCTCATGCTTTGAAATATGGCATTGCGCTCTCACAATGAAAGTGTTGGAGTCCTGCTTCTTTTAAAAAAAATAAAAAAGGGTATCTTCAAATTCTTAACAAAAATCAACTTTTTTGAAGTGAAGCCTCCAGTGTTTGTTAAAAATGACATATTTTCTTTCAATGTGTATACAAAGGTGACATTGGTATAGCTTATTCTTTTCGTTTCAGTCTGATGTACTTTTTTTTTTATTGCTGGCTGCATGGCTGAGGTTGAGGATCTTCACAGTTACTTTTTATATTTTGTCTCTAGAACCACCGGCTTCTAATATGCAAAAAAAACTTCCGGCTGTGGTTTGCAACAGTGGGAACTGGCTTTGGCCACATGCCCAATTGTATTTTTATCATGTGTAATAAACGGTAGTGATGTTGGATCTACCTTTTTAAAGGCATGCAGAAATCAAATGAAAATCTAAACCCTAAAACCAGAATTAAATTCTAAGCATAACACCTTATGCAAAACTTAGCCTATCTCCAAGTGTGAATAGATGGATACCACTTAAGTACATAGGAAACAACCTACCTTTCTCACACTTATCTTCAGATAGAACAATCACAGACCATTTGCAACATGACCACAGAACAGCAGCCAGCGTCTCTGTGAGGGAGAAGTACCATGCCTTCCTCTTAATGTATTTAGTTAGGATAATTCCTTTGTTTTGAAACATAAAACTTAAACCCTCCTGGTTTGGGAAAAAAGCTTTCAAGACTCTGTTCGACTAAGTTTAAGATTCCCATTTCATTACTGTAAACCATGCTCTAGCTACTGTAGTGATCTTCTCTCCAGGATACTAGCATTTATGTAATCTCTTGCGTTGCAGTGAATGAAGTTTTTGGAAGCAGAGAGAGGTTGGTAGCTGCCAATACAAACTCTGGAACTAGCAGCTCCTTTGCCAGCAGTAGCAGCAAAAGTCCATAAGCAGAAATGGAATCATGACGGATCAAACCTCACATAGATGGTATATAAATGCAAAACATCAATCCAGAGTATACTTTGGGACTACAGTTAATATGTACTCTGCACCCACTGGTTTGGAAATGCTTATGGAAGTGTATCAAGTTTACTGCAATCTGCAGCTTTTTTTCATCTTGTGGGAGGAAAACATGGTCTTGTGGTTAAGGCACAGGAGTCAGAAGTTATGGTTCCTGCCTCTCACAGACTTGGAAAAGTTAAGTGACATGCCTGCACCTTGCTTTACCTAGCACTGAAATGGGGATAGCACATCACATTTTGTTTGTAAACTTCACTTGTCAAGTGATGTATCTTTGGGTATGTCTACACTACAGGATTAATCCGAATTTAGATAATTCGAATTTGGGAAACAGGTTGTATAAATTCGATTGTGCGCGGCCACACTAAGCACCTTAATTCGGTTTTAAACCACATTAATTCGGTGGTGTGCGGCCACACTACCCCATTAACTTAAATACAGTAATTCGGTGGTGTGCGTCCACACTAACCCTAATTCGAATTAACAAAATCGATTTAGGCTCTACTCCGTTCGTCGAGGTGGAGTACAGAAATCGATTTGAAGGGCCCTTTAATTCGAATTAACTGGCTCTGTAGTGTGGACGGGTGAAGGGTTAATTCGGATTAAGGCAGCTAAATCCGAATTAAAGTCCTAGTGTAGACCAGGCCTTTGGCAGGAAAGCACTGTGCTGCTGTAGAGTGTGTATATAAAGGATTGGAATGAATGGATTTCTTTTTAGTTGCAAATGAAAACTACTTCAACTGAAAATTGCCATAGTACTTAAGTCAAGGGCTGAACAAAAACTCTTTTAGTGTAAGTAGTCAAACAATGCTTAAGTTTCCCCAGAGTAAGCTGAGGATGGACTGTTTAACAAATGTCCAGTATCGCTTTTGAAAGATTAACATCTTACTTTAAATCTCTTAGAACAGTGTTTTTCAACTGGTGGATGGCCTCCACTAGGGGGAGGGAGGTGAAAGGCAATTGGGGGCCGTTAAGCATTATAAAACTACCATACAATCTAAAGCAAAGAAAATCTCACTCCCTGTACACCCTTACCCTTCAACGTCAACTGTTCTGTAAGCTTCTCAATACACACAAATGACACAGATTTATTGTTGTGATATTGATACATTTTCCCCCCTCTCTCATAGTAAATGGAAGGGGGTTGTAGAAATCTTTGGCTGTGAATAATAGGTCACCAACCTGAAATAGTCTTAGAATATGAAATAGGCCAGAGATGCATCTTAAACCAGCCACAGGCCATGGCCATTACACAAAGTTTGGGATATCCTTTAAATACAGCATCTTAGTCTACTAAGAGATTTAAACACATGCAGCTATCACACATTCTTATTAAACTGGAGGCAACACAGAGAGGGCTTTTAAACAGTCTAATTAGGTTTACCTAATTATGGAATGGGTTAGGATAGCAGTAGCTATTAGATATGAAGTGTGCATAATGGAAAGCTGTATCTGGTGTGTACTTAATCTTTACACAACAGTGTTTCAGTGTGTCCTATTTTAAAATAAGAAAGACACAACAAAGTAAATCCTGCCAGGATAAAGATGGGGGGGGGGGGGGGGTTGTACTTAGCCCAGTGCTAGCTGCCTGTGGTGGAGGACTTGCTGTCCTGTCCCAAACTCTAGCTTGCTGATTAAAGCAGGAACTCTGAAAACATTTCAGGTTTGTCTGTTCTTGCCATAGCTTCCTCCCTTGCCTATGTGCTTTAGTAGTTCTTGTGCACTGCAGAGGAGTGCAGATCACTGGGTTTTTTTCCCCCAAGTAATCCATCCCTAACCTATAGTCTTGACTCCAGCCTTCTTATTAAAATATCCTTCGGTCAGTTAGGTTTGGTTGCCAATATCTCACAGTAAAGTTTCAGCTCCTGGGACGATGATCTGTGAGAAATTCCGTTTCTAGTTCCTTTTTAAAATGAGGCTAGACTGCGGTATTTTGTTTGTGTTTTACCAATATACTGAGTTATACCAGTATACGCCCTAGTGTGGTTGTAATTACACAAAGGTGACACGCAGCTTATTTCCCCTTCCCATATGAGAATAATTTTGTACATACTAGGGCAGTTGTAGTACTTTAGCTTTATCAGTATAGATAAAAACTATTTTAAAAAAACAAACTAGAAAACTTTTATTAAATTCCATATTCCTTGGGCTGGGTCACAGGTGTCTTTTTTTTAAATTGATAATGTATATTTGAGCCCCCAGGAGCTGTGAAAGTACTGTATTGTCAATTAATACTACATGTTTTTAGCTAATTTTCTTGTAACTTTTTGAAGGGGGGGGGGAAAATCAATCACTATGTAGAATCTGCTTTTGTTTGTGCACCCAGATTCAGTTACCAAGGGATCTCCTTTTGTACAAGCAAACTTTACATTCTGCTTTTCAAGGTATGACATGTAGAAGTGGTTGCTAAGTGCCTATTTTCAAAAGCTTTATGCTTATGCATAGTCTGTCTTTCACATAATGGAGTTCTTGCTAATTGTGTGCTCCTTTAGTAGCTGAGATGCAAATTATGTTATTTCTCTAAAGCAGTTGTGCCTGCTGTGCTTACTGTAAAAAAAACACCTTGACTTTTTTCAGAAGTTAAGGGTGTGCTGCACGTCCAGCTTTGTTTTAATTTATTTTCCAGTTGCTTTTGCCATGTAAACATAAGCCCTAGCGGCAGCATGACAGGTGCCTAACTCAGTGAGAAGAGCAGGGCTCTAAGTCAGGGCTGCAGGGAAATGCCTTGCTCTACTTGTGATCTGCAGATGGGAGTTCCTCTCCTATAGCCAGGCAGCTTCAGCACCTAGGCACGTAACATTTTAGCAAGAAATGGCTTATCTACCTCCCCCCAAAACAGTCCTGGAGTGGCTCTGCTCCCTTATAACTCGAGAGTTAGGGTACTCAGAATGGATGTGGGAGATCCTGGTTCTATCCCCACCCCTGTCTGATGAGATGGGATTTCAAGGGGCGTTCTGTACCTCCTGCCCGAGGGCTCTCTTACTTGTTGAAAACATTCTACTTTAAATCACTAAATAAATATTACTTAGGCTAGAGAGAGCAAGTGACTCTATAGCCTAGTGCATAGGCCACTCAGCTGGGAGGGGGCAGATTCCTGCTCACATCCTCTCTCAGTTGGGGGGGGGGGGCAGGGGCTCTCCCACATCCTGAATGTGTATCCTAACCCCCTGGCCTGCAGGTCATAAGAAAGTCTCCTTCCTCACCCTCCTGGAACCCTCTGGGTGGAGCTAAGCCTGCCCAGAGTACACCCATCCAGCTGTGATAGACAGGAAGATCTGATTTCCCCTGGTTTCATAATCAGGCTGGGGCTGAGGTATAAAAGACATCCAGCTGCCTGCCCAGAGTCAGAAACTTGACAGTAAAACTTTAGGTGCCACAATAGTTTAGCTGGAAGGTGAATGGGGGATTGCAGTCTGACCCCTCAGTCTTCCTTACTTGCCAACTTTTGTAAACAAAAACCCAGTAGATACTAATTTACACAGATTTGCCGCCATGGTGCCTGTTTGTCTGGGTCATGCCTACTACATGCATTCACACAATACATCCTTTTCCCACTCTCATGCGCCTTACATATACCCTCCGCCCCGGCCCCTCCTGCTGTGTACCACAGCCTGACTACATATAGTCAGTCTGTTCCCCCCCCACGCACCTACCTAACTGTGATCAGTTCAGTGGCTACTCTTTGCATTTTCACCAGGATCTGTACAACGGAAGGGCCTAAAAGGGATTTAGGCAAGGGCTGGGACTTAACAAAATCTATTTGGGCTGGAGGCATATCAGCAAAGTCCCTATTCATAGTGCAAGTCACTGTGGTATCTCTGATCGTTTATACCATCGAACTGTTCTTTGCCAGAGGAAGCTCTATGGTTTGGTTATTCTTAAGTCTTCTGTAAAGGTTCAGTAAGGACACCTGCAGAGTCCTGCAGTTAGGACAGAAGACTCCTATGCACTGCTACAGACTAGGGACCGAGTGGCTAGGCAGCAGTTCTGCAGAAAAGGACCTAGGGGTTACAGTGGACAAGAAGCTGGATATGAGTCGACAGTGTGCCCTTGTTGCCAAGAAGGCTAACCACGTTTTGGGCTGTATAAGTAGGGGCACGGCCAGCAGATCGAGGGACATGATCATTCCCCTCTGTTCGACATGGGTGAGGCCTCATCTGGAGTATTGTGTCCAGTTTTGGGCCCCACACTACAAGAAGGATGTGGAAAAATTGGAAAGAGTCCAGTGGAGGGCAACAAAAATGATTAGGGGGCTGGAGCACGAGACTTATGAGGAGAAGCTGAGGGAACTGGAATTATTTAGTCTGCAGAAGAGATGAATGAGGGGGGATTTGATAGCTGAAAGGGGGTTCCAAAGAGGATGGATCTAGATTGTTCTCAGTGGTAGCAAATGACAGAACAAGGAGTAACGGTCTCAAGTTGCAGTCAGGGAGGTTTAGATTTGGTGAAGCACTGGAATGGGTTAGCTATGGAGGTGGTAGAATCTCCTTCGTTAGAGGTTTTTAAGGTCAGGCTTGACAAAGCCCTGGCTGGGAGGAGTTAGTTGGGGATTGGTCCTGCTTTGAGCAGGGGGTTGTATTATGATTCTTCTCGATTACTTGCGAAGTGCTTCCTTTGCCATGCTCTATGTTAAATTCAATCTGCTTTACAGGCTCTCAGCAGCCATTTTTTTAAACTGGCTATGAAAGGACAGTTTTTCAAAATAACATTTGTGTACGCTCTTTAAATGCATGGGGAGAGTACTCCCCTCTGATGAGGAATGCTCCTACCAGCAACCCCTACAACGGCAGAATTGGGTTAGGAGTGTGGCAATGTTGACACACAGAGTGAGGATCTACATTTTTCCATTATGGTCTCGAAAAGCACATTAGAAAAGAGCCACATTTTAATTTTTCCAAAAGGAAAACAGATTTTCATTCCATAAATACATTAGCAGCAAACCCTCCCATCATCACCAGCACTTCAGGTGGCTAAGATTTACAGCTTAGTAATGAGTAATATATACTATCTGGACAATTTCAAGCCTCTGGTGGTCTGAAAGCCAAGTAAACCCATCAAAACTTAGAACATGTGGAATTAAGTAGGATCACTACATGCCTCATCTCCTATTGAACTGGAAATTAAAAGGCAACACTTAGCTGAAAGCCAAATGTTGGTCTCCTTTACCATTTTTGTGGTCAGGTAATTGCTTTATCCACATGGAGTACTGATTTCACTATTTTTTAACCAAAGCATTTAATTTGTACTTCTAGAAGGAAAGCTGAGAATTTGA